ATATATATATATATATATATATATATATATACACATATATAAAAATACAGTAATTTGTTACTAAAATGTGTCTGAGCAAGCCGTGTACCCGACATTCCCCCCAAAACAGCATTTGTGAGTCACTTTTATAAAGTAAACATTGACCCACTGGCTAGTCAACTAGAGTGAGCAGTCGTGCACGTCCTAGTGGACACACCAGCAGCTGGTCAAGCCTGACTATAGGACACCCTCCATCTGTCACACCTGCATTATTCATGTTTGTAGTGTCCTACATTAAAAAGGTATCAAAAACGCATCTGTGACACAAAAGCGCTTATAGATCACTGACCCAGATTTGAGTACAGCCTTGGCAATGGCCAATCCCATCCCAACTTTAAATAAATTAAAAATTCAACTCAATAAATCAGATAAATGTATTTATTCCAAAATATGAGGATGAAAGAGATCCACACTCTTTCAAATTCAGCCAAAAAGGCTTATTAACATTTATTGCTCAGAGGTCACGAAAAAATGTACAAAAAAAGTGCAGAACGTTTTCGGGTATTACCCCTTCCTCAGTGCCAAGTATTTATTCCATAAATAATAATAAATGTTTTTTCTCAAATTTATGTCAGTACCAAAAACAAAATAGCTTAAAATGCAATGGAATACAATACAGTCTTTCAGCACTTAAAAGCAGACATTTACAATAAAAAGTCATTATGAGTCATTAATACAATTTTAAAAAATGTCTTAAGCTGTAGAAAGTTTTATTGTTGTATACTTGTTTTTTTATTTTACAGTAACATTACAATAGTAATAATTATTGTTTTGTTTAATAATAATAATAATAACTTTATAATTATTATTATAATTAACAACATTTAATAATACTACTACTAATAATATTATTATTATTAATAATAATAGCCATTGATATATTATCACAAAATTTGGACCAAATTGCACAGAAAACCTATAATTTGTTTTACAATCATACTTTAAATTCGCAATAAATAAATAAATAGACAATTCACAAATACATTTTTCCCCAAATCGTGCCACCTTTTTTTTTTGCATAGCATTGATTTGGCAAAATTGTCAGTACTAATAACTTTTTTAGGTGTTAAAACTTCATGTACAAGAGCACTACATGTGGTCAGTGACTCCACCAGCGTGACTTTCACAACCAGTCCCAATAAAGTTCAAAGGTCAGACAGAGTTCAACATCAGGCCAATGAAGACACCTGAAGCATTAGTCGAGATGCTGTTTTGTGTTTCCGTGACGACCTCGTCCTCCGTTTGACCCCGGTGCAGAGACCATGTCTTTGCATGACCCATAAAAAAGTTGAAAATAGAACGAGATGAAAGAAAGAGGAAGAGGAAACAGTAGCTACTGAGACTTCCTGCTTCCCTCTCTCGTTCTGAGCATGCTCAAAAAAAGTGATTTGAGCTTGACCTCAGCTGACAGACAGCAGAAAACAGAAGCTAAGAAAATGAAAAGTGGCCTCTTGAGGCGATTCAGTTGAGTAGACAGTCAAAACTTTACAGCAGCAGGTAAATGTGTGTGTGTGTGTGTGTGAGATATATATATATATATTTATTTCTTTATTTATTTATTTAATTGTCATTTTCATGAAACTTAAATATTTTTACTAAATAAATGTTTAATGTAATACATTTAAATATAAAACAAAAATATGAAATAAAACATACCATCAATAATTAACAGCCCTTAAAGGGTTAGTTCATCCGAAAATGAAAAGTAGGCTGCGTTTTACTCACCCCCAAGGCATCCTAGGGGTATATGACTTTCTTCTTAGTCATATTAAAGGGTTCACATATGATGCGAGTTCAAGTTTTCCTTTCTCTTTGGAGTGTTACAAGCTCTTGGTGCATATAGAAGATCTGTAAAGTTGCAAAGACTAAAGTCTCAAATCCAAAGAGATATTCTTTATAAAATTTAAGAATCAACCACGCCTACCTAAAACGCCTCGTTCTAACACGCCCCCACATATCTACGTCACTATGTGGAAATATTAGCATAATGCCGCCCAAATGTGCACACAAAGAAAGAAGGCGTGGTTTCAGGAAAGCAGTAGTGTTGAAGCAGCATGTCAGGGAGACGCTGTGTTTCAGTGTGAAAGCAAAAGCACTTTATTTGGCCTTCCGGAAGTAGATGCAATTAGGAATCATTGGTTAAGATTTATTTACAACAGAACAGCACAACCCAGATTTTCGAATTTGTGCAAGGCATTTTATGGATGACAGTTTTTTGAACCTAGAAGAGTACAAGGCTGGCTGTGCACAAAGGCTATTTCTAAAAAAAATGGGTAAATTCTGACTTTGCTATGACAATCTAGCGCTTCTGAATCAGCGACTTTAAGTATGTTTTGTTATTAGTTTAAGTATTTGCTATTGACTGTTCAAATGCGGAGTTTTG